AAAAAAAAAAAAAAAAAAAAAAAAAAAAAAAAAAAAAAAAAAAAAAGCTGTAGTGCAGAGACAGAATTGGTGGTAAGGTCTTCTGCTGGCTAGCAAACACTTCAAATGTATTAGCTTCTTAGTAAGTATTTCCCACATAATTAAGTTTCGGCAAATATAAAATCTTAGACTGGTACTTAATGACTAGGAAATAAGTGCAGTGCTGTCCCAAACATAAAATATGAATATACACACACAACTTTAGGATTAAAATTAGATATTAAGGCAAATTTGATAATCATAATAAATGTATAAGCTAAAACTATGGAGTTTTAAAGCATGTCCTATTCTCATGGGCCTCAGTGTAGGGTAGAAAAATTATCATTTTTATCAAAATAGTAAATACCAATATTAGATTAACTCAAAATTAACGTTATAATTGGGATTAAACAAATCATAGTAAAATTCTTTCACCCTCCTTCACTTTAAGCTAAATACAAGAAATGAATGAGACGTTCTCACCTTCCCTTCCTCCAGGCGAAGCAGGAGCACCTTATCTCCAGGCTTATAATCTCTGAGCAACTCTGCTGACTTCCACACTTCTTCGGGATCAGGTATCCAAACCCTGGCAAACTAGACAACAAAAGCAAAGAAATTTAAGCTGGCAAATCAAACACTTAACAATCATATGTAAAACATATCATACCATAACTTTACTTATAGTTAATTTACTAACAAGGCATCTTAAACCAGCTATGGTGGTGCATGTCTATAATCCCAGTACTAGAAGGGGAAAAAAGAATGAGAAATTCAAGGTCAATCTCAGCTACATAGTAAGAGGCCAGCCTGGGACCCTATTTCAAACAAAATAAAACAAAACAGCAGCAACAAAAGGGGCTCTGGGCTATACAAAATTTGTTTGTTGTTTGTGTCTGCGAGACAGCATTTTACTGCACAGCCGAGGCTGTACAATGCAGCCCTTGACCTCACAACCCTCCTGCTTAGGCCTCCTGAGTATTGTGATTACAGGTATACACCACTCCTGCATGACATTTACTTTTAAAATTAGAATAGAAAAGTGGGTTAGCCCCAGTATCACCACCATTCCCAAATTACATAAATAATATGCTCTGAAAAAAATAACTAAAATTAAAACCCGACTTTGCTTTATATAGTAACTGTAATTTGGGGTAAAAATTTACATATTTTCAAAGTTCTAGAGTGGTAATTTAACAGCAAAGCTATCTCTTTATAGTGGCATTTGTGATCAAAATCTTTCATGTGGTTTCATCAGCTGCAAAGCCTTGGTGACTTCCTAGACACCCTTCAGGAAACATTCTGGTGGAGAGGTGAAAAATAAGCTTGTGGCCTGAAGCCACAGATGACTTACAGACTGCATAGCTAAAATTTTCTGTGAGAAAAGAGTTTTGTTGCTAATTTTAAAAGTTGAAGAAAAATTGTTATTTAAGTTTTTGTTTTGTTTCTCTGTGCAGCATTAACTGTCCTGAACTTGCTTTGTAGACCAGGCTGGTCTTGAGCTCACACCAATCTGCCTGCCTCTGCCTCCCAGAGTGCTGAGATTACAGGCATGTGTTACTGTGCTTTGTTATTTAAAGTTTGAACACATTCTTTTATGGAGATTAATGGAAAATGGTACTTGACTAGCCACATATTTGGCTCGAGTGGTCCCAATACCATGAGAATGCGTGATAATCACCACAAAGTCCTAAAACTATTGCCTCAACTAGTTGCTCTCTGTATCTAAGCTAGATAGGGAGTTTTGAGAAAAAGTAAAAGAATATATTAATGTGCATAAATATTACTAACACCCTAAGGAAACAATATGCGATATCTGCTTGGACTCTCCAAGAAGGAATCACCCTTTAAGATGTGAATACAGGGCTGGTGAATGGCATAGCAGGTAAGGTGCCTGGCATGAAGCCTGAGTGCAGTTCCTGGAACCTACATGGTACAAGGAGAGAAATGATTCCTGCAAGTTGCCCTGAGTTCCACTTGGCATGAACTTCCCCTGACCCCCAACACATACACACACACACACACACACACACACACACACACACACACACTTGCACACACGCACGCATGCACGTGCTTACGCATTCATACATACCTGCACACATGCATGCACACATAAAGTGTAAATAAGTAAATGAATAAACAAATGAAGAGTCTTACATTCTAATGTTCGGTTTCATATTGTAGGACAAGCTAGATCCAGGGGGCTAAGGGGACATACTGTATTGTGCTAGACTATATCTCGTCTCTGACCTACACTTACATTCTCATTTCCCGTCAAATCATCTCCAGGTCAACTCTTCCTCCCTCTCTACCTCTTATTCTCCTTCTCTGTCCTTCCTTCCTTCCTGGCAATGATGGCAGTGCTGACAACTGAACCAATGATAAGCAGACACTATCACTGAATTTAGAGCCTTAGTCCCCAATCCCCTTTTTAAGTTGGAAGCAGAGTCTCACTAAGATGGTCTTAACTGGCTATATAGACCAGGCAGACCTTGAACTTATGGTCCCTCTGCTGCAACTAACCAAGCATTTAGAATACAGGTGTGCACCACCATGCTCAGCTAGACTTGAGTCATGTATGTGTTTACGTGTACATGCATGTATGTGTAAGTGTGTAAATCAAGATATGATCTTCCTCTATTGCTTTCCATCTTTTGTTTGGAGACATGGTCTCGAGCTGATCCTGGAACTCACCAATTCATCAAAAATAAATGACCAACAAGCTCTAGGGAATTGTTTGACTCTGCCTCCCTTGAGCTAGGATTACAGGCATGTGCTAAAGGCCTAGATTTTTATGTAGGTGCTGGAGATCTGAACCCAGGGCCTTATGCTTGCATGACAAGCACTTCACCAACTCCCTGGCCCTGGGTTTCATTATTTATAGAGACCCAGATGTACTGTACTTGGGCTTGAATTGAAATGACATCTGGATTTAGCTGTACAAGCAGAGATTTCAGAGCAGCAGTGATGTAATGATATTCTACGTACTGGCCACAGTTCTGCAAACCTGTAATGACAACAATCCCTAGTAAAAGAGAGATGTAAATGATTTAGCAATACATTTAAAGGTGGGGCAATGAGAATTAAAAGGTAGTGAGTGGGTGACTGAATGCAGAGATCTGAGACTGCTTAAAGGAAATATCTGTGGGCAGTAAAATATTTCAGCCCGCACCTGCACAAGACATTACATTAACCTTGGTACTGACAGATTTCTCAACCTCCCTTTTAGGACACTGCTCTGACAGGATGCAGACCTTTCCAAACAACCATATCGTATGGCTGTTGGTGTTTGGGAAGCTAGCTGTAGTGGAATACTCAGGTAACCTGAGTGCTTGAGAGACTAAGGAAGGAGGACAGATGCAAGTTTAAGGCTATCTTGAACTACATGGTGAATTTCAGGCTAGTGAGGACAACATAAAAATGTCTCAAAAGCAGGGCATGGTGGCACATGCCTTTGATCCCAGTGCTCAGAGAGGCAGAGACAGGCAGATCTCTGTAAGTTCGAGGCCAGCCTGGACTACAAAGTTCCAGGACAGTCAGGATGTGACACAGAGAAACCTTGTCCCAGGGAAAAAAAAAAAAAAAATCTGTTTTAAGAAAGGAAGGAAGTCTCATCAGGACTGCTTAAATCCTTTTCCTCTGCGGCCTGGCAAGGTTGCATCGCGAGGGGTAGGTGATCAAAGAACAGGCAACACAGACAGCCCCTGCTCCCCTTACTCAGGAACCCATGTGGAGACTGAACTGCCTATTGGGTACATCTGAGCAGAGAGTCTAGGACCTCTCAGATGGCAGGGGAGGAGGACTCCCCCTTTCAGTAGACTAGGGGAAGGGAATGGGGAGGAAAGGGAGGGAGGGTGGGACCAGGAAGAGATGTAAAAATAAAAATAATTTTTATTTTTACAATTTATTCATTTAATTAGAATATTAGATATAGAATAAATAGAATAATTAGAATAATATTCTAATTAGAATATTCTAATTAGAATTAGAATATTAAATGAATAAATTGTAAAAATAAAAATTAAGTTTGAAAGAATTGAGAAAAAAGGAAGGAAGTGGCTCGGTCTCTGTGAGCCCCTGTGGGCCCAGGTTACTTTATTCTGTAGGTCTACTTGTGGTGCCCTTGACCCCTTCAGCTCCCTCTCTCCGTCCCCCAACTCTTCCACAAAATTCCCTGAGTGCAGCCTACTGTTTGGCTGTAGGTCTAGGCATCTGTGTCCATCAGCTGTTGGATGAAGCCTCTCAGAAGACAGTTATGCTAGGCTCCTGTCTGTAGGTACAGCAGAGTATTATTAATAGTGATAAGGTTGGCTCTCTCCCATGGGGTGGGTCTCAAGTGGGGCCAGTCATTGATTTGCCAGTCCCTCAATCTCTGCTCCATCCTACTCCCTACACTTCTTTAAGGCAACACAAATTTCAGGTCAAAGGCTTTATGGAGGGGCTGGTGTTCCCCTCCCTCCACTGGAAGTCCCACCTAGCTACAGGAGGTGTTGACTGCAGGCTTCTTAATACCCACTGCTAGAAGTCTCAGCTAGGGTCACCCCCACAGACTCCCAGGAACCTCCCCTGTCCTAGAGATGACTCCCCCACTGATTTCTATTCTCTCTCCCCGTCTTCCCCTCCTGCTCTCCTACACCTGAGAGGGTAGGAGACCCCCCATACCTTCCCCACCCTCTCTTCCACCCAGTTCCCTCCCTCCAACTACTTCAGATGTCTGTTTTGTTTCCTCTTCTGAGTGAGATTTAAGCATCCTCCCTTGGGTCCTTCTTGGCTTCTTTGGGTCTATGGATTATAGCATGGTTATCCTGTACTTCAAGGCTAATATGCACTTATAAGTGAGAATATACCATGTTTGTCTTTCTGGGTCTGGGTTATCTTTTCTAGTTCTATCCATTTGCCTGAAAATTCCATGATTTCTTTGTTTTTAATAGCTGAGTAGTATTCCACTGTATAAATGTACAACATTTTCTTTATCTATTCTTCAGTTGTGGGACATCTGTGTTGTTTCCAAGCCCCAATCAAAGTGCAAACTTGGCTGGACCTAGACCCCCGATACATACGTAGCAAATGTGCAGCTTGGTCAACATGTGGGTCCCCTAACAATGGGTGTAGGGGTTGTCTCTGACTCTGTTGCCAGCCTCTGGATTACTTTCTCCTAGCTGGGCTGCCTTGTCAGACCTCAGTGAGAGAGGATGCGCTTAGTCCTTCTAGGACTTGAGGTACCAGGGTGGGTTGGTACCCCTTTGGGGCCTCCACTTCTCTGAGAAAAAAGAGAGGAGGGAATGGGGGTGGTGCATGAGGTTGGGACTGAAAGGAGTAGAGGGAGGCAGCTGAGATCAGGCTGTAAAGTGATTAGAGAAAGGAAGGAAGGAAGGAAGGGAGGGAGGAGGGAGGGAGGAGGAGGAAGGAAGGAAGGAAGGAAGGAAGGAAGGAAGGAAGGAAGGAAGGAAGGAAGGAAGGAAGGAAGGAAGGAAGGAAAAGAATAAAGGCAGGCAGACAGGCAGGCCACAAAAACAACTCAGTATATTCTATATAGCTTAAAACTCATCTAATTTTTCACTTTTCTTGTATGATTAAAGAATAATAAAAATTTT